AATGCTTTTTAATTCCGACCAGACACGGAGTCAGAGGTGAAAGAGAAAGGAAAAGACTAAAGATGGGGGGGGGGGGGGTCCAGAAAAATAAACATTAATGAATGAGAATCTGATTCTAGACCTGCAGAAAGAGACAAGAAAAGAAAAAAAAACAATAAAAAATGGGACACAACAACAACACAACAAGGTCCAGTTATCACTGAGTCAACTTGATGAAAAAATATATAATCAGCATTGTTTAACTGAACAATCACATGATAATAAATCACAGTGCATTAAGTGCCCACCATAGCCTTAAGACATGTGTTGAACGTGCCCAAGCCCACACTTTTGAGAGCACCATGTGAGCACCTGTGTGTGTACACGCGCTTGTTTAGGTAAGGTTTCTCTATAGAGCTCCGGGAGTTGACGTCACTTCTCCCGGCATGCAACAGTTCAAATCGAAACGGCGCCATTTGGCAGGCAGAAGCCGGCAGCTGGACTATTTGTTATTGTCAGAAAACTCAATCAAACGGGAAATATGGTAGATTCCTGTTGTGCCCCAGGATGCAGAACAGACGCGGACGACATAAGGAATGAGCCATCTACAGGATTCCCCAAGATCCGGCGCGCCACAAACGTTGGATCATTATAATAAAACACGCTAGTGACCGGGCTAAAATGAAACTGTGGGATCCCGAGAGTAAAGGTTTTCACTTATGCAGCGACCGCTTCATATCAGGTACTTAAACCAACGTTTCCTCAACTGTGTATGGTATTTATTTTAAATGTGTTTATTATGATTCTTAGTGGGCTTCCTAAACTTATTTTGGCAGGGCTTTTTCTGTCTTATTACTCATAGCAACAAGTAAACGTCACGTAAAACGTTGCCTCGTGAGTTCTGCGTGCTGCCGTTTCCGTGTTTTATGATCACAGCAATTAACCGGCTAAGCTGTATTTAATTTTTAAGCAATGGTTGATCATTTGTCAGATCACACATAAAAAGCACTTTGGATTGCTATTATCTGTCTCACCGAGACTACTTACGTGTAAATCTGTTATTTGTCCGTCCATCCATCCATTTTCATCCGCGTATCTGGAATCGGGTTGCGGGGGCAGTAGCGTGACTTCCCTCTCCCCAGCCGCCGGAGCCAGCTCCTCCGGGTAAATCCCAAGGGGTTCCCCGGTCAGGTCCGGTGTTGTGCCGGTAAGAAGTCCGCTCCGACAGCTTCTGGCGTTTTTAAAAAGTATCCCAGGGGCACGGTAAGGGTCGGATATATTTAGTCTATTTAATTTCTGACTATATAAAACGATTTCTTCAGTTTTAAAGTGTGAAGTAAACTCCGACGAAGTAAAATCCAAGCGGATCCCGTTCATGTTCATGGTTACATCCGTGTTTGTTTACCTTTTTTGCATGCCAAAATGGCGTCCACTAACTGAGAGTCACGTGGGATCCGAAGCTCTATAGGAGCGTCCAATAGAGAGTGTGAGGGGCCACAGATCTGCCCCCTAAAGATGTGCAGGAGACGGAGGGAGCTCCAAGTCCCAGAGATCCAGGCGCTGCCCCAGAGCACAAGAAGTCCAGGGAGACTGCGACCAGAAAAGCCCCCACCCCCCTCGAGAGGCACAGAGGATCGCCCCGGGGGGGCCACAACCAGCAGCCGGCAGAGTCCCGGGAGATATCAGCGGCAAGCCCACAGACCCACCCGCAGCTTCCCACCCCCTAGCTGGCCGAGCCCGGGACCCAGGGACGACCACCCCCGCCGGGGACCCAGTGGAGCCCAGGGACCCAGACCCCACCAGGCAGCCATGGGGATTGGTAAGGCAGACGCCAAAAATCTTAAACTCCCTGACCCGGGAGCCACGACCCAGGCAGACCAAAGCACCACACCCCACACCAGGTGTGGCAGGGAGAGGGGAGACGAAGATCTAAATCACCAAAAGAAGTCCCAGGAGAAGGGAGGAGTCAAAGGCCCCACCTGACATATACAGTCATACACAAACACAGTCACACACTCCCTCCCTCATGCTCACACATGCACATACAACCCAAGACTTACAAAGACGCACGCCGGACACCCACTCATGCTCCCCATACACACCCTATTCACTCTGGTCCCAGTACTGCTGCACATGGGGTACAACCATCACCGGTAACCAGAGTTTGACCCTTTCTGCTGGGGTGCTGATGAGCAGGCTCCCCCGCCCAAGGCTGAGCACAGCAACCCACCACCCCAGACCCCAACCAGACAGCCAGATGTCCCTCCTAGCCTCCAGCCCCAGGAAGCCAAGCGACAACAGAGGTGTGCTAAGACCCCTAGTCTCCCTTTGTCTGCTCCAGTATAGTGTTAGTGAGAGTTGATGAGGTATATTCCATAGCTGTGGTGAGTGGGCAGTGCGGGCATCATCTGGCCTATGCCAGCGGATGCCACCGCACCACCCCACTTGCACCCACAGCCCTCGGTGTCCAAGTGCAGTTTAAAATTGGAAGTGAGCACCGGCACTCAGGAGGAGGCTGAGAAGCCCCCCTGCAAATGCCGTTGAATGTGCTCACTCCCAAGGCCCCAAGTGTGTGTTTGCGTGGAATGTCGTCGGTGGAAGTGTATAAGGTGTAAATAAAATTAGGGGGCAGGTTGCCACAGGAATGCGGAAATGGGTCCATACCCGCACTCCCTGACTTGTCCACCCCCCAAGGTCCTATGTGCATGTTTGTGTGATGATGTGAGGGAGCAGGAGGAGAGAAATATGCAGGGATGGGGAGGAATGGCTGGTTGGGCTTAGCCCTCCAGGGAGCCAGCTCCCCCACTGGCCCCAAGAGGTACCTCTGTTGTCAAAATACCACCCAGAGCATGGAGACCCGAACCCATCCTTCCAGGGTCCAAAGCAGCAGCATCACAAAGCCTCAGTGAGCCCGAGGGCACCAACCCAGCCCCACCCCAGCAGAATATCTACGCCCATCCCTGCATTTGCACAACTTCCGGACTATAAAAGACATAGGACATCAAGGTAAGGTTTGGTCCTCCCCCTCCTGGGCTTCCCCCTCCCCTGTGATGGGACAGCAGAGGAGCCAAGGTCTACCCGAGGCCCCTGAACCCGAGTCAGGCACTGCTGCATGTTCCTGCCTTCTCCCCGGCAGCATACATGCCAGGACCAGATCCCCAAGGCCCCACCCAGATCCCCCCCACGGGGCCGGCCACCCCCACACCCTGAAGAAGAAGAAGAAAATATCATTTCTATAGCGCCTCTCAAGATAAAAATCACTAGCCCCCACCCAGAGGCAACGCAGCGGCCGGGCAGCAACCCATGGCCACCGCCAAGACCTCCAAGGGGCCCCACTCGCAACCGCCAGTAGTCCATCCCCCGAGGCAACCCAAGTACCTCCAGAGGGGGGCAACGGCCCCCCAGTCCCAGACACCCCCCAGTGAACCCACCTCCAGGGAATATCCGGATACTCCAAACTCAGACCCTCCACCCCCCCACCCACATTATCCTGCAGGACAACATCAACGGCCCCCCACCCTCGCTATGTGATGGAACCGATCAAAGGAGCCCAGAGAGATTGATTTGAAGTGGAAGCAGAGGCTATATCAAGTGTAATATGATCTAACAAAAGATTTCTATACTGGTTAATGCAGAGTTTCTCTATTTTTCCAATTCAAGAGGATAGTTTTCTTAGCGATGCACATGGCAGTCAGAACCACGTGAACCACAGATGTTTCAATCGGGACATCGTCCAGGTTTACCAGTAAACAAAGAGAGGGGGAAGTTGGGATATGACATTTCAGACACTTTGACAGGTCTTCACATACTCTACCCCAAAATTTCTGGACAGGTAGACAGGACCACAGTGCATGAATGTAATTGTCAGGAATGTTGTTTGTGCAGTGTGTACAGGTGTCAGACGACACAAACCCCATCTTGAACATCCGATGACCTGTATAGTGTACTCTGTGTAGAATTTTGTACTGAATTAATTGTAAATTGTGGTGTCTGATCATTTTAAAAGTTTTTAAACAAGTTTGGGACCAGAAGTTCTGGTCAAAGCTAACTGATAGATCCACCTCCCATTTTTCAATAGGGATTGCTATTCTATCGTCTATTTTGGACAGTGTCTTATATACTTTAGACAGTAGTTTGGGGGGTTTGAGATTATAGATGGGCGACTTCATTACAAGGCATCAATACAATTGGAAAATTAAAATAGCAATTGCTTGCTCACTATAGGCTACACAAGTGACTGTGGACGTCAGAGAAAAAAAAAGAAAAATACTAACTTTTCATTTAGGCTTAAAATGTATTTGTTTGTGAAATTTAAAGAAATTATCCCATAAGATGTTCTGTACACTAGCAATTTTTGTAACTTGTCTTTTTTATTAAATAAATTAGAAAATAGGATGAAAAGCTGACTGAAAGTACATAAATATTGTTTGTTTTTATCTGTAGATGAAAAGTTCAGAAAACAGTTTCTGCACAAATAATGCTATTTTACCTCAGAAAGTCAAAGCTCTGGCGCCACCTACCGTTCAGTAACAACCACTTCACCAAACTAACAGTGCAACATACTATCACACATTTAAAAATAACCAATTTTTTAATTGTCAAAATGTAAATAAACCCTGATTTTAACAACTACCAGAAGAACCCTAAACACTTTTGTAAGACTAGACTCCATATTTACCTTTCTGGTTAACCTTCATAATAAATGTTCTCAACAGCAGTTCAAGAAATTGTTACTAAAATGTTTTTCAAGGACTCTACCAAAGTTCAGTTTTTCCACAGAATGGATGTTGTCCAAAAACTGTCACAGGGGACGGAGAGTGTGGAAGTCAAACTCGACAGGAAGGAATTTAAACTCCTCACACTCGGAGAAGACAGCAGCGTCATTCTGAACAACTTTGCTGAGCTGCCCGAACCATCGTGTTGTTTTTTCTACACCTCGCCGTTCTTGATGCAAATCTACCGTGTGAGGGACTGGAACTCGAGTGAGCAGCCTGAGGTATAATGAAAGACGATGACAGTCATTTCACAATAAGGTGCTGTTTATTTATTCATTCCATTATTCACATCTCTCATAGCTTTGAGTTGTAGTATTTTATTAATACTGACCTCAGCCTCCTCTTACTGGAGACGAGCCGGTTGTGCCAAGCGCAAGCTGACCTCTTTGACCCCCAGCCCCACTTCTGTCCCCGGGGATTGCTGCTGTGGGGAGAGGGCTCTGATTGTACCTCAAAGCTTCACGTTTACCCGGGGACAGAGAGTCGGCCTCGGTCCTGCAGACCCCTAGTTGCTTCTCTGGTGTTTTATACATTGTGAATATCCAGATTAGGGGTTTGATCACTTCTCTGGTAATGGTTGTGCCCCAGCACCATTGCGGCCCCGTGATAAACCCAAGCAGCAGAATAGCCTTTGAGGAAAAAGATGATTTCGTTCAAGAGGTTCGGTTTTGATTGGGACTGAAGATTTTCCCCCATCAGCGTGGCTTTAGACTTGTGCGAGTGCTGACCAGGAGTGTAGTAGTAGTAGTAGTAGTGGCGGCCCACGTGAAGCAGCATGGCATCAAACACAGACTAGACTAAAATCAGCTCCAACCACTTGGTGCAGACTCAGCTGCTGCTTTGATAGCAAACTTTTTTTTGTACAGCTTTAAGGCAGGAAGCTTTTTTTAAATACATCTCAGTCTGGAATACGCTTCTCCCTGCGCAAGATGGGATGTTTTCCCTTCTCATTAGAGGACGGGAAGCCTGGAAGTATCCTAGAGTCCATCAGGCTAACTCCAATGAGACCAAAGTCCACACAAGCCATCCTAATGTGCCACGCTATGCCATGTAGATGAAGGTGTTTATGTCCGTCTCATCCCGCTTGATGTACTTGTGATCTATCAGCCACTCGATCTGCTCCTTGATCATCTTCTTCTGTGGTAAAAACATGTTCTTTAGGATTTCCACCAGCTCCGTCTGCAGCTGCGCATTATTGATGCGCTTCCTCATTTTCATAATCTGGATTATGGCCTCCTACACGTTACAAAAGCAGGGTGGGGGGGTGGAGACATAGTGGTTTGTTGACAGTGAGTAATGCAACACTCGGCATGCTGGGAGTTCTTCTTCCTACCTGTGTTCTTAGTATCCTGAGCTGGACAATGCCTTCATTCTCCTCTTCTCTCATTCGCTCTGTGGTGAGCTGCAGCCGACCAATCAGGTTAATCTTCCCCCTTTTCTGAACCTTTGAGTTTTTTCTGTAAAATTAGATGCAAACAGACGAGTGTGTAGCGTAAACGTTATATAAGAGAAAGCCCAAAGGACAGTTATAAGATATGGCTCAGAATGACGAGGTCCTTCTAATGAAGCGGACTGTTGGCTCTGACTCGCCTCTGATTGGCTAGAAGGGCTCTCCTACGATTGGCTCCTTCATGTAGCAGCCGACCATTTTCCCCCTAAGTGCAGTCCGTCAAACCTTCCTAGAACACCTTACATTTCCAATATTTAAATGATGATGATGATAAATGACCCGCACTTGTATGGCGCCTCTCAGAGTAAGGACTCCAAAGCGCTTTATGGGCTCGACACACGGGAGGCGACATCGCCTCTCCTCCATTCATTTTCAATGAGACGTGCGCGACAAAGCGATAATCGCGGGTCTCTCTCCTACTCAGCGAAACGCGAAAAACGTGCGTGTGAAAGTTTGCACTTGTGCACGTGTCGTGCACGGACGACCCAGCGACGCGATCCCAGAAAGTTGAAACATTTTCAACTTTTCATCGCTGTGGCTCGGACGAGGACCAATCAACGGAGGTTTCATTCACTGACCAATGAGCGGACAGGATGCTCCGTACGCCTCCGAGCAAACATGGAGGAGAAGTTGATTATTATTATGTTTTATAGTAAAATCAGAAGTAAGATTTCACATAACTCTAGCAGCACCTTGTGAAACATCATATCTACCGCTTTATTAACTCTGAACCGCTTAAATAACCTTAATTCCCTCCAACCCGACACAGCCAATCAAAACAACGGAAGTTTCGATTTCGCCATGGAACAGAACGCGTAGACGGCTTTGCCGCTGGCGCGGATCGCCTCCCGTGTGACAGGTAATAAAAGCGACAGCGACAAATTTCGCTGATCGCGGTCATTTGTCGCCTCCCGTGTGTCGAGCCCATTACACTACAGTGTATCATTCATCCGTTCACACACTGATGATGAGCTACGATGTAGCCACAGCTGCCCTGGGGCACACTGACAGAGGCGAGGCTGCCGAGCACAGGCGCCACCGGTCCCTCCGACCACCACCAGCAGGCAGGGTGAGTTAAGTGTCTTGCCCAAGGACACAACAGCAGAATTCTGTCCGGAGCCGGGATCGAACCTGCAACCTTTCAGATAACTGGACAACCCGCTCTACCTGTTGAGATGCTGCTGCCCTATCGCCTCTGGCATTAGAGGAACTGTTGTTGCATGCCGTCTTGCTGTTAGTTAAGTAAAACGCCAAGACTGACGCATCATTCCCTTCACACGTACATCTCGTGGTGAGACATTTTTAGAGGCAACTGTTTGCTTCTAGTTGAAGTTAACGCCCCATTAGCTGTCACACTGGTGTGTGAAATCAGTTCTCCGCATTTGACCGGCCGCGCTCGGGAACCGACCTGCCCCTTAATGCCGAGTGTCGAGGTGGGAGTCGTCGGGTCTCATCTGTAAAGTCTTTGCTATGACCCAACCGTAGACTTGAACCCACGATCTCCCGGTTGTAGGGCAGGCACTTATAGGCTAATTCACTGTTTGCATTGTTAGCTCGACGTTAGCCTCCAGCCTGCTTCACCTGATATTAGAGTAAGACTAAAAGATGCCGTGGCTTATTGGGGGCACAACAAATAGCCTCTGGGTCGCTCCTGTTTACTGACTTCAGTTCTGGATCTTTTTGCCTGTCGGTGTCTGATTACAGATGCCGTGATGACCCAGCAGGCCTGCGGGCTCATATGAACCGTCACTACACCCCTCTTTTGCTCCTTGGAAGACAGAAAAAATGACAACCTCTGTAGCTGGCTGATAATGAAATCTGGTACAACACACCTTATTTCCAACACGACTGAGGCATTAGAATGTTTTGTGATAATTTCACAGTAAATTTCTTACACATTGTTCCTTTAAAGTAACATTCAGCTGCACGAGTTCTGCTCGATAATATTCGGTCTGGTCCTGCTTTTGTGCATGTTTCACTTTTATTTTGAAAGGCTTCTCCGGTCACTGAACCCACTGTACTAAAAACCTATGTGGCTAAAACAGTTTAGTATGTTTCACACTGAAGGTTTTTAAGGATCTAACAGAAAAACATCTTTAATAATTGAACAAAATTTAAATCTGGACAACAACCTGTAAGCCTTTCTAAATCACCACACCCTAAAAAAACACAAAAGAGCTGTTAGGTTTTGGGTTTAGGGGGATTATGCATCCTGTAAAATAAAACCAGAGTAGTCGTGTGCAGGATCGTATCTGCACAACTTCTTGTACAAAGGTATCAAACACAGAAGCCAAAGAAGACAAAACGGACAGAGTTAGGGCAGAAAATACTAAAAAAGAAGCAAAAAATCCTAAATGATCTTCACATTGACTTTAAGGTTCCTTACATGAGAGAGAAATCCTGGTTGACGTAGAACAACGTTCCTTCTGCAAAGTCTTTGGGCGAAGACACCACCGGGTCGTACAGCAGCACCTGTCTCTTGAGTTTAGGGAATGCAACCAGAGACTGGGAGGACAGAAAAAAGCACATATTTATCTATTTTTAATCACCTGTGGCTCTTTTTTTAACTCTCGTCTTTACCCAAAGGGTGCGTCGCAGCTCGGCGTCGGGCAGCTCCGTGGCTAACTTCAGGTTTTCAAAGCTGATCCGCTCCCTTGGCCGCTGGTTCCAGGCGAACAGAACAGCCAGCTGGAAGGTGGTGACCTCCAGGTCGTACTGCCCCACCTCATTCTTAAAGGTTATCTGGGAAAATCAAGCACATGATTTTCTTGTTCCAACATCGAAACACGGAAAAACAGCATTTCAATGAGCCCAAGCTGGACCATAAAACCTTTTAGGATGGTGACCCGATGCAGGTCAGAACCAAACAATCATAGTTACTGGACTAATTAGTCCTAACTGAGAAGCTTCCAGGTAGCACTCACAATGCCGTTGGACATGAGGTGATGCCAGTGAAGCTTCCTGCCGCTGTGGTTTTTCTTGTAAAAATCTTCAACCTCGGGTATCAAATCCTCCAGCTCCGTGGGAAGAGAGACAAAGACCTTCTCACTGCTCCTGGACCACGCTCCAGCATTCAGGATCTTTATGTTGACGGAGTCCGCTGCAGAGCAACCAGAACCCGGGTCAGCATGGACACATCCCGCCTGTTCCAGAGCAGGACGTAGATGGACCCGACATTACCTGGTAGAGCCAGCTTGTTGTGTTTGTGCATCTCTTTAAAGGACTGGTTGAGGTCCTCCGACACCTTGATGTCTTGAAACATTCGGGCCAATTTGTTCACGTAGTCAGCCGGCATGCCTACTTCCTGTACGGAGACATTAAAACAATGTTTTCTGCAGAATTAAAGATCGGCTTCTAAGAAATGTTTCTACAGATCAAACAATCAGGATGATGACACGAGGACTATAGAGGAGGTGATATTTTAATGCACATCCCGGTTTGTTTATCAGAGTGAAATAAAAACACGACAGGCTTCCCACACATGCGTACCCTGAGCCACTCCACCATGTTCTCCTCGATCTCGCTGTCTGCTGAGATGTCCAGGATGAGGCGGCGGGTCAGGTGGGCTTTGTGGTATCGCATGAACACGTCTTTGTTCTGGACGTACTTCAGCACTAAAAGCTAGACAAAGTCAAACGGTTGATTAGATTGAGTCTGTGTGTCGCTCATTCGTTCATTTTCAACTTAAAACCAAAACTAAAATAAAGGAAAAAGGAAAAAAACGACAGTCTTTTTCTAAATCTGATCTTGTTGTCCACATTTTCTGTTTTAGTCTCGGATCAAAAACAGAAAATGGAAAAGTGCACCGAAGGACAGTTTCACATGGACCGGTACCAATATGGCTCAACTCAGGCCTAGTCCACACGTAGCCGGGTTTTTAAAAAAACGAATATCCGCCCCTCCAAAAACTTGCATCCACACCACCTCGTTTAAAAACAAACTCTGTCCACACGTACCCGGATAAATACGTTGTTACGGACATGCCAGACCTGTAGGTGGCAGTACTTCCCCCGTTCTTAACCTCGTCCTTCATCTGTGGTCTTCCGCAAGGAGCAGTAATTCCTCTTGCGAACACAAACATGCAAAAAGCGCTTGGACCATTGATAAAGCGAGCGCAGCTCTGAGGGCATCCATGCTGTCGGCTAGTGTAAACACTGGTCGCACACGTGATGTCAGCATTTTTTTGTCGCGGAAAGTGACGTTGCGGACCTTAAAACTCCGGTTTTGTCCGTCCACACGCAGACACCCAAAACGGAGAAAACGCAGATCTTCACTTTGGCCGGAGTTTTTAAAAAGATCCGTTTTCGTGTGAAAAAACTCCGTTTTCGTGTGAAAAAACTCCGTTTTCGTGTGGATGACAGGCCAAAACGTAGAAAAATATCTACGTTTTGGCAGATCCCCGGCTACGTGTGGACAGGGCCTGATTTTCAGTATATGAAATTTCAATTTTAGGAGGAAAAATGAAAAGAAAAAGAAATGTTTGGATTTTGATGACAGACTAATATGATTATACATGCTTTTATGGACTGATTTAATGAAAGAGTAAGTGCTGAAAGCAGACGTTGTTTTGTTGTCTAAAACCGAAAACCAGACGACCTATTAAAACACTTTTGTTCTGATCTCATCACCAAAGTTATTTTTGTCTCAACATCTGGAAACGAACACTGAGCCGTCTACTTATGTTCACAGAAGTGATGAGGCTCTTGTTAAAGGCCAAGTTCACTGAGAAACATCTTTTTAATTTGTTATTTTTTAAATACGATCGGTCACTCTGGGTTTAACATGCAGGCTGAATGTGAAAATAGTCTTCTACCCTATTTTCTGCATGAGCTTCTGATAGAAAACAGATCCTGAAATGCGTGGTTATAAAAGTCAGCGACATTAGCGCGTCATAATGTCAAACTGGCATTCATGGACCCACCCATCTTGACAGATAGGAAAGGCTCTTGTTGGTTCAGCGTCCAGGAAACCGTAGAGAACGTCTCAGCTAGAAGATGCTAACCGTTAGCATTAGCAACTCCACCACACAGCAGAGCTCCTTCAGGTTTGTGTTATTTGTGGAGATAATACATCAACGTTGCAGAGAAAACTGAGTCCGTAGCAAAGTCAAATTGCTGTTATCCAATCAGAGGAGAGGTGTCCAAATACCAGGAAATAAGACTCCAAATCCCACCGTCACCTGCTCAGCTCCCCTCCCCCTTTTCGCTAACTTCTACTTCCTGAGGCAGGAGCGCCAGAGCTTTATTCCAACAGAGATGGGCTCACAAGGCATTAGCTCATACTAGAGACCACCGCAGATGTGCTGAAGAAACAAGTGAACTTGGTCTTTAAAGAAATGTTCTTGGCTTGTTAAAATAATCAGGTGAGAAATAGAAATGACTTTTTTTGTTTTCACCCACAAAGTGAACAATAAAGTAACAACGCTCATCTTTCATTTTTTCACCAACATATTTTCACTCTTAATTAGAGACGTGGCACAGTCGACCGGATCCGTGCGGACTGCTTGGTGCACGCTCTTGACGCAGGAACACGCGGTCTGACGGGGATAACTATATCAACACAACACCTGAGCTCGTAAAGATGACCCGTTAAATATGAACATCAAGCCTGTTCTTCAATTTCATATTTTTGAACCAAGACAAAATTTCTAAATATGGGAAAGCAGATTCATTTTTCAACTTTAAATGCTATCAATTTACTTACTTCTAATTAGGGATGTAAGAAAATATCGATATGGCAATATAGCGTGATATTTTTTCTAGCAATATTATATCGATATTCAAAAGCCGTGTATCGGAAATATCGATATGGCAATATATCGCGATTTTTTTCTAGCAATATTATATCGATATTCAAAAGCCGTGTATTGGAAATATCGATATGTCAATATATCGTGATTTTTTTCTAGCAATATTATATCGATATTCAAAAGCCGTGTATTGGAAATATCGATATGGCAATATATCGTGATTTTTTTCTAGCAATATTATTTCGATATTCAAAAGCCGTGTATCGGAAATATCGATATGGCAATATATCGTGATATTTTTTCCTGCGATTATTACATCGATATTCAAAAGTCGTGTATCTAATTCTTGAAAGAATTTACATGCAAACTTTTGTGTATTTTCTTTTCGTTTTGTGCAATTCAATCGCCACCCGCTAGTTGGCAGCAGTGTGCAACGGGTTTGGTTTCCACCACTGAAATGTAAATCCCTCCATCATGGTTCAGATACCTCATGTTAAACATGTTACGTATCAGTTTGGACTGTTTATTGAACATTCTTACAATAAATTCAGTAAAAAAAATTGCTTGTAACGTCTGACTGAATGTATCGCAATATATCGTGATATATCGTATCGTCTCCCCTGTATCGTGATATGTATCGTATCGCCAGAATTTCAAAAATACACATCCCTGCTTCTAATGCCGTCCTAATATTTATTTTTCCTCACAAAAACATGCTGCATCTCTGGTAAACCGGTGAGTTAATAAGCGACAAGGCAGCAAATATTTAATGGGTAACTTTGAAATTCCTTCAGAGACGCCTAAAGACATTTTGATCAATTTGACTTCTCGTTAGAAAATGATAAATATCCAAGAATATTTGCTAGAAGATTGTAGTTCTTGGTACTGCAGCTCACACTTATTAATTTTAGCTAAACTGTATTTTTATTCAAGCTGCAAAAGAAACAGCAGCGCAGAAGTCTGGAGACACGAATGTTCCTCTTTTTCACAACTAACCAGACCCTGAAAACATAAAAAACAAATAGTTTTCAGGACACTGCAGGAGCCCCGGGGATGGGAACGATTAGTGCCCAAAACATGCAAACAGGTCCTAAAACGTACCACTTCCTTGAGCTTAGCTTCAATCTCCTCAGAGGTGAGCTTCTTACTCAGCGGAGTCTTCCTCAGAAGCATGTCGCAGTAGTTGGCCAGCAGCTCTGGACACTTGGACTCCGGCTGAGTTTTCATTCCTACCCTGTAAAAAAAAAAACAAAGTGTGCAAACATGAACACACAGACGTTGATCATTTACGACTAAAACTACATCTAAAGGTGATTTCTTACGCTTTCTGCTTCATCGGAAGCTCTAGTTTAAATATTGTGGCATCGTTCACGACAGCTTTATACGCCTGTGAAAAGAATCAGCGTCGGTCAGCAAGTTTTACACGGTGAGGAGATGAAAATGACTAAATCTAACTGACTTTGTCTCTAGCTGTCAGGAAGCGAGGGTCGTCCTGAAAGGCCTCTTTGACCAGTCGACTGAAGCGGTTAAACAAGGTCAGCAGCTGCTCCACGTATTTCTCTGAATCCTGCAACAGAGACCAGATAAATAATCCTTCTGACCAGTCCGGCGAACAAAGACAGCGGGAACAGCTTAAACGTGAGTGAGATTCTCACCGAGGTGATGGTCTCCGCTGAAGCCACCATGTCAGCCAGGCCGGCGCTCATTATGTGATCCTCCAGATCCTTCAGCATGGGCTCGATGCCACTGGGAACTTTGTCCATCAGAGAGAACATCAGGTGCAGCTCTGTGATGAGTGGACAGAAGGATGAATGATATCAACATGACTGGATTATCCGTTTACACCTGGAGCTTGAGTGGCTCTGTGGTCGATAGAAGATGTTATAGTCTACGGTTTAGTTAACCGGTCGCTCCGTGTTTCAGACGCGTCGCCAACGATACGCGTGAGCTCGATTTCTGACGTACCTTGCTTCCAGAATGCATCAAGGTCCGCTGGCTAAACAGGAAATCAAAAACAGCACCGGTTTGAAGCATCCGGTAAATTTCACAATAAGACAAATGCAGATTTACGCTTCCACAAAGAGTCAATTTTGCTTTCTGCATCTTTTGAGAGCAGTGTGGTGTTTTTCAGCGTGAACAATGAGCAAGTGGAGAATCACGTATTTATGACATCACACGTATTTATGACATCACATGTATTTATGACATCACGCATATTTATGACATCACACATATTTATGACATCACAAGTATTTGTGACATCACACGTATTTATGACATCACGCGTATTTATGACATCACACATATTTATGACATCACATGTATTTATACCATCAAATGTATTTATGACATCACACATATTTATGACATCACACGTATTTATGACATCACACGTATTTATGACATCACACGTATTTATGACATCACACTCTCTTTTCACGAGGAAAGGACCAAAAATTCAGCCATCAAAGTGGATGGTGGGTTTTAACGCAAACAGCGTGAATTCTCCTGTTTTTGTTGTCCGTCTGCGTGGACCACGGCACCGACACTCTGCATCTGGGGACTGATGCGTTTCTGAGCACGCCATACAACCGCGTTGCTGCCGTAATGCGCTGCACACACACCTTAAACATTTTTAAAAAGCTAGTGCAGCTGAAATAAAACACATTAATGCAATAAAACATTTACAATTAATGTTACTTTTGTTTTGAGCTACAGAAGTGGCAAAAGAAAAATATTGGTTGTTTTCAAATCCATTCGAGCCCATTTGACAACTAGAACCGAGTCAGACTCTAACGGAGGGCTAATGCAGGGCAAACGCCCAGCAGAGGTCCCAACTTCACATCTCAGTTAAGTAAACAGCTTTAGATGACTTATCATACTTGAATCACTAAATGTTGCATGAACTCGTTTAAACTGGGCTTTATTTGGACTTTTACCACCAGGTGGCGCATTCTCATCCTCAACCGCTCTCACAGCACAGAAAAGGTAGAGTAACACATTAATGCTCCACAAGCACACAAAAGGGGTTTTGGTCAGGTCTATTTCCTGGTGTTATAGGACGATTCCAGCCATACTCACTCTCGGTCTCGTTTCGTTTGATCATGCCTGGACACTCGGCTAAGATGGTCTCCTTGAACGATGTCACTAAAGCGTTGACGCAACACTCCATCAACTGGTGACAGAAAAGAAATTCATGAGAAAAACTGTTAAGTGGTAAATGCTTCTAAGGAAACAAAAGTTTCAGTACATTTGGAAATGATTTCAATCTCTTGATGTTAAAATGAATGTTTAACTTAACTATTTGGCCAAACTGCCGTGTAAAAACAGCCAAAAAGCAAACAGAAATAAAACTCACCGCTTGTACAGAGTTACAGTCGCGCCTGGTCTCCAGATATCGTAGAGCTCGTTTCTCTTCTTCTCTCAGCTTTGAATCCGCCTGCAGAGAAAACACATTAATGACACAACTTACACCCACAAATGTAGAGGGATTAATGATTTAATTGAAAAAAACAACAACATTTTCTTATGGCCTAGGCCGAGGGTCGGCAACCCACGGCTCTAGAGCCACATGCGGCTCTTTAGCGCTCTCTAGTGGCTCCCTGGAGCTTTTTCAAAAATGTTTGAAAATGGAAAAAGATGGCGGAAGGAAATACATTTTTTGTTTTAATATAGTTTCTGTAGGAGGACAAACATGACACAAACATTCTTGACGTTTTTCAGCGCTGTAAAAATGTGTAGAAAAATATTTAATTTCAACATTTCTGTCAACGAAGATTTGCGTCATAGCCTGCGACACACGTTTCTACCAGCCGGGCGGGATGCCAGGCAGGCGGCTGTGTGATGGGCCATGGATCCCAAAGGGAAAAAGAGAAAAATAACTGAGGAGAACAGAGGATTCAACGTTTCTTGGACCGAATCATTTGCATTCATTGCCAACGCGGAAGGATTGCCTGAATGTTTGCTCTGTAACGAGAAGTTGTCACATAACAAAAAGAGTAATGTGGAAAGACAATTCCAGGGATGGCATGCTACATTTGCAGCCGAGTATCCAGTTGGGAGTGAGAGAAAAAGTGTGATTGCATTACTTCTGGAGAAATTACAGGAGCGCAAAAATAGATTTAAGAAGTGGATTGCATCTCCAAACTCCACTGCTGCAACCCGGGAGATAATAAAGCGTGGGAAACCGTTCACAGACGGCGACTGCATGAAGGAGTGGTTTTTATAAATGCAGGCTGCGTTTTATTGCACTGTTTGTTGCCCCGATGAGGGGCACGTTATGCACGTTCCATTTTGTTGTTTTTTCGAATCCTAAAAATAAAAATGACATCAAACATCAGATTTCTTTATTGCATTTCTTTAATTTCATCAAAGCAATGAAACATGATTCATTAATATTGTAATGAAGTTAAACTTGAGGCGGCATCGTACAACAGAGTAGTCACGTGGTGCGTCATTCTCTACACAGGGTATCTGCAGGTTTAAGGGAGCCAAATTTAAGACTTTTTAAGACCTTTTTTAAGGCCACTTAGACCAAATTTAAGCTATTTTAATGATTAAATGTAAGCTTTATTTTCCAGCTATTGCCTGGAACCGGTGCCAACCACGTCGCAAACATGGGATTAGCCATCCAGTTACCATTAAACTTGCACTTCCCCATGGCGCAAGCTCCCACTAGTTTAACTAGCTAATGCGCTCATCTAAAAATAGCCCCCTTTCACCACCAACTGAGTGTGTACGGTTCCGCTTGTGCCAATATCATACACAAAAAATGCTGAAGACTAACTAGAAATTCATGAAAATTTCATAGAAATAAAATAATCTTGTTTATTGGGTCTTTGAAAATTTAAGACCTTTGGAAACTGTATTTAATGATTATTTGTCATTTTTAAGAATTTTTAAGGCCTAAAATTTGGAAAAGCTAATTTAAGACTTTTTAAGGACCCGCGGATACCGTGTCTACAGCAGTGGTTCCTAACCTGGGGGTCCCGACCCCCACAAGGGGGCGCCAAAGCCTCTCAGTGGGTCGCCAGGACCTCTCCACTTTAAGGGATTAAAACATCATTTATTACTTGTTTATAGCCTACATTTTGCTCACATTTTTTTCATGAGTGAAAAGTTTACTGATATTAAGACAGGAAATAATTAGTACAGAAAGAGTAACACACTTTTAAGAACATTTTGCTCAGCTCACCGTTTTATTTTCAAGTGTCAAAAGTTCATTAAAGATAGGACTGGTTGATTAATCACAGCCTTTACAGTAAATAATCTAGTATAAACAGTAATATACACATTTCAGTACATTTTGCTCAGTGTATTTTTATGTGTCAAACGTTTATTGAAAGGAATGATTGATTTATCAGTGTTTACAAGAAACAATGTGTTCAGAAAAGTAATACAAACTGTCAAGCACATTATGCTCTGTTTGGTTTTGTTAATGACTTTGTTCTGTACTGGAGCCTACTATTACGGTTACCTATTGAATCAAAGCATATTAAAATGTGCTTGAACAATTTTATCATTTCTTAATAATGTTTGTACTGGAAGAGAGAATGGGGGAGGGGGTCGTCAAAAATTTTACTGGTAAAAAAACAGGGTCCCTTGGGAAAAAGGTTGGGAACCAGTGCTCTACAGGACGCGCTACAGGGAGTATAAACATTTAATCATGAAGGCTCATGATGTATTTGTAGCCAACTTAGTCTTTTTGATAGCAGGCTAATATAGATACATACAGCATGTGTTACCTTCATCATAAGGCTTATATAAGGCTTTTAATTTTTTGCGGCTCCAGGCATATTTGTTTTTTTGGTCCAGTATGGCTCTTTCAACATTTTGGGTTGCCGACCCCTGGCCTAGGCACATGTTAAAATAATGCTGGTGGTGCAACGTTGTGCCGGTTCTTTTATGAGCACCACAGACTTTTCAAGGAACTTTTAGACTTTTTTACTCTCAAAACATTTTCCAGTAGCTCTCCATTATCTTAGGTGTGTTCTTGCTGTGTCTTTCTAAATCCATGCTTTTGTTCTTTTTAAACACAGAAACAGTTTTGTTTACCTGTTTTGTAGCTACAGTTTCGCTCTCCATTATTTTTCAGGTGTTTGAATTTTTAACTGTTTTTGTTTTTAATTGTTTCCTTCTCAGAAGTAGCGTTGCTTAGACTGCTGGAGGACACGTGGACCACTTTCCACACTCTGCTACTGTCTTCTACCACTACTCTCTAACTGCAGTACTTCCTGTTATTTCAGCTGTTAACCCTTTGGGCGCCAGAGTTTTTTCAAGAAACTTCAATTTTGACATGACCGTCTGAAAAGGGTGTAGCTTGGAAAAGGTTGGAGATAAAGGAAAAGTGTAGGACTCAAAGTTTGTGTTGGGAGCAAGTTTGCATATTATGATGTCATCAGGCTGCCATATTGGAATGCATCGTTTGTACAGATGTTCCATCTTATTTTTACATATGATTTAGAAATTTCCATTATATTTAGAATTTTTTGTTTTTATATAAATATATAAAGCTCCTTTTTAATTTTAATTTAATGTTAGAATTTTATGTTTATGATGAAGTGACACACTATGACTTCCATATATAACGCATCTGCTGCTTTTTACAGCTTTTCTTCACATTGCCGCTACATCTGTCGCATTAGCCGTGTGTTTTCCATCATTTCTACATTCATCATGTCCCAAAGATGATGACACCAACATCAAACCCAATGTTAGGAGCTTGTAAGTGCAGCACCAGCTGGCTGACCCCTTCTTTCCACCGGAGCCGTCAGCAGCACGTTACTGCAGCAGCACGTCATAGCTGCTGATAGGGACCGCTAGGGCTGGGCGATATGGCAAAAATAGAATATCACGATTTTTCCAATATTTTATCACGATTTCGATTTTATCACGATTTTTTTATCCATGAATAGCATAACTTCAATTGCGTATTAAAGAAGAGAAACATTGAATAAATAAACATTTATTCATATCAGGGATAATCAGCACAGTGCTAACACACTTATATTTTAAACTCACACCAGAGATGATAAAAGCCCTGAGAGAAACAATTACAAAAATCAGTTTTTCTCGTTTTTCTAGTAACTTAACATAAATTAAAATCGTAAACATATTTAAAGTGCAAACATGTCAATTGCAAATGTATTGTGCAAACATTAACTTGTTCAAAATACTATGTAGCTCCCAGTTGCTCATGTAGTGGATAGTTAAGCTCAAATACGGCTCTGATGTGCGGCTGGACCAGAGATCGCTTGTGGTAGCAAAAAACTGCACATTCTGAATATTTTCTGCAACAAGTCTCTAAATAAGGTAAAAATTTCCAGTGCAGAGTGGAGACAACCCATAGAAGCACTGATTTGATCTCATTTCAGAGAAAAATAGAACAGGTTAGATGCACCTAATAAATAAAATTACTAACAAACTCAGGAATCTTTCTTTGCTTCACTGTTCTGGTGCTGAAAACATCACTAATGCGGATCAAAGGAGACACACAGATGAGTGCACCTCTTATTTATTATTTGGAGACTACATTTACTGCAGCTGGCAGAGGCAGAGATTGTTTCTATTGATACACGGATTTTACAGAATCATTTAAAATGTTAATAGGGGAAGACTGCAGGAGGGAGCGGTAAAATACAGGGGGCCCCAGCAAAAACAAGAAACTACGAGTCTGATGAAACCCGCTGGTTTTCCATCAGGCAGTCACGGGGCAGCTCCAACGACCCAGTGACCGAGCTCAGTCCGGTACCGACACCGGCTCGGCAGAGGGTGGACGAGCCGAGGCGGCGTCGTGCTCTGCTTAAGAAGCGGTGTTATTTTCCTGCTTCAGAAGAAGCGTCCAACGTGTTTTTACGCTTTCTCCGAGACATGTCACGTCGCTAAGTTGTTAGCGCCGCGCGCTAAGGAAACCCTGCGTTCCTCTTCGGAACGAAAACCTCGTTGTCGCTCAGCCGCGGCGAAGCCATGTTTGTTCACACACAAGTGAAAACAAGCGGGGCACTAATATATTACTGTGACTCACTCTGATTGGTTAAGGGTCAAACAAAGGCGTGTCATTCGCCTGGGGTAAGCTCCCTTTTCATTCAGAGGCAGAAATTCAACAGCAGAGCTGTGAATCGTGATAAAACGGTCTCTCAAAAATGACAGACCGTCAGATGTGTAGATCGTAAAACGGTCTAAAATCGTCATATCGCCCAGCCCTAGGGACCGCTGTGGTCAACAGAACCTTTTCCACTGGAGCCGTCAGCAGCGCGAGTCGGCCGTGTCTCAGGAGCAGCGTGTCGCGGCCTTTACGCGCCGGTTCTATTTTCTACGCGCGACGCCTCTGAAACGGGTCAAGTTCAACATTTTTGGGGAAGGAAAGACAGGAAATCGGACGCGGAAATGGAGCAAAGCTTCCCGAGATTTTCAGAATAAAGAAACGTACTGCCTTCCGGTTGCTTTACTTACTGTACATGTTGTGGCTGTCAAACTTCCATAATGTTCCTTTAACGTCAGAAATGGTGCTTGTTGACACTTAGAGAGAAAACTTATTTTTTCTCTCTAAGTGTTTTTCTCCCCAGAAGAAGCTACAACGATGTTCTGCTGAGCTGTGGAGGCCTCATAGAGGGGACCATCGGCTAGCACGCTGCTGCTAACCACTTAAACATTCTCCCTCTCCTGATAACAACATTTTACTTTCTATAACAAGGAATGTGCTACTACTAGTTTACCTGCTGAATTAATATACAGATGAACTCAGCTAAATGTTTCTGTTACCAAATACAATCTCTACTAAGAAATCTCAATGTAGCAACCATAGAAACACTACTTGGTATATACACTGTGTCTGAGTTTTCCTCTCCACTGTCTCTACATGCCTGGAAAAACTCTGACACTAATCAGTGACTTGATGCAATCTGCTGGGTTCCTTTTATAGGAAACTTTTAACTACAGTAATCCCTCGCTACTTCGCGGTTCGTTCATCGCGGATTCGCTGCTTCGCGGATTTTTTCTTTGGAGCATTTTTCAGGGGGAATTCGCAGATTCGCGGTATTTTTCACTGATTCGCGGTATTTTTCTATGCGAAATATCAAGAAATTCTTGTTTTTTTTTCATCAATTTTATCATAAAATGCACTTTTTGTAATAAAACTAAAAAAACCAAGTAAAAAATTTTGTTTCTTGAGTTTTACCCACAAAAAGAGAATGTGATCATACGATAATTCAATAGGGAGCGTGCTTTCACAGACGCGGAAGTGATAGCGTCGGTGAAACGCCGGCTGATCTAGGAAACCCCCGAGCGTTCGAGCGTCAACGAAGTGACACGGAAATGCCGGGCTTTCCAGAAGTAAGTAAGATAACTTCCTATGAGCTGATTGGATTGATCGATAGGTTGGAAACTCTGATCATGAATCTGAAGAAACGATGACTGAGTGGTGAGCTGGAAAGGCGACTTCCGTTTATAGCCGCGGTTTGTGATGTAGGTGCGACGTGGAGGGAATCCCCGCGAGGGGCATGCTGGGAGTCCCTACTTGGCGGATTTTCACCTATCGCGGCCAGGTCTGGAACGCATCTACCGCGATAAACGAGGGATTACTGTAATTGGCATAATGAACTGAACTCATCTGAATGTGCCTTGGGGCTAGTCTTGTCCTGATTTGGCACTATATAATATATATTATGCGACCCATTTAGTCGTATTGGTTTACGTCGGCATGTCGGGTAACAGATCTCGATAAATGCTCCTGCTGATGTGGGGAAACGAGCATGGTTCTTCTGACTCAGAGAGGAGGACAGAAGAGGTCACAGCGGCAGGTTCTGTAGTTCATCCCACCTCACATGTCTACGTCGTGTTAAATAACAAAAGAAAACAGCAGCAGGAGACGTTAACTCACATATTTCATGTAGTTCTGGACCCCGTTCTGCTGGAGGTATGATGGCGCCTGGGTTCTGTAGAACCTCTCTGTGGAATCCATGTAAGCTTTCTCAAAGTTGTCCCTGTAGATCTGCAGCTTGTCGTCGGGGTTGGAGCACAAGTTCACTGCACGCAGAACAAGGATGTTTTAAAGTGTTTGTGCCAAAAAGAGTTTGACTCATCACCCAGGAGCCAGCAGCAACATGGATCTGGAGGGAGAGCTGGCTCGTGGAAATGACTTTATGGATAATTTAGCTTTCTTCCAGTCTGACAAAACCACACTTATTTTGTTTAATTGCGTGACTCTGGTCCTCACCGTAAGACTCTCTAACACCGATTACCAGCTGTGAGTCAAAGGCCTCTCCGAGCCTCTCGGCATGGACCAGCTTCATGGCGCTGTCCTGAAGCCTGTTTTTGATGTTGGAGAAGATGGACTCATTCCACGTGTCCAGCATGAGCTGCGGTCACCGAAACAACAAGAAGAAATGTGTAAAAAATATTCACAAGTGCATGATAACACTTTACAAAAAGGCAGCACTCGGAGACTCCTCACTTTGCGGACAATGCTGTCCTCAACGTTGGACTTCTTGTTGCATCCTTGCTTTCCCATCAAAGTGATCTCCAGCTGGCAGAAGGGTTTGGGCAGGATGTCACACTGCGTAAAAAACTTCCTCCACTCCACGATGTAGGCTTTTAGCAGCGCCGTGTCATCCTGGTGACTCAGCACCCGCTGAGGAAAACGTGACAAAGCAAACCGCACACACACAGGATTAATCTTAACTCTGCGGAACATCTACTTATGTTATAAAAACATTGTGATTGTTTAATAATATCAACAATCACAGCAGGACACAGATTAAATCTTAAAATGAAACTTCAGTATTCTGAGTATGAGCAACATACAGGTGCTGGCCAGTAAATTAGAATATCATCAAAAGGTTGAAAATATTTCAGTAATTCCATTCAAAACGTGAAACTTGTACATTATATTCATGCAATGCACACAGACCAATGTATTTCCAATGTTCATTACATTTAAATTTGATATTCATAAGTGACAACTAATGAAAACTCCAAATTTGGTATCTCAAAAAATTAGAATATTCTGAAAAGGCTGAATATAGAAGACACCTGCTGCCACTCTAATCAGCTGATTTACTCAAAACACCTGCAAAGGCCTTTAAAAGGTCCCTCAGTCTTGTTTTGAAGGCACCACAATCATGGGGAAGACTTCTGACTTAACAGCTGTCCAAAAGACAATCATTGACACCTTGCACAAGGAGAGCAAGACACAAAAGGTGATTGCTAAAGAAGCTGGCTGTTCGCAGAGCTCTGTGTCCAAGCACATTAACAGACAGGCGAAGGGACGGAAAAAATGTGGTAGAAAAAAGTGTACAAGCTCTAGGGATAACCGCACCCTGCAGAGAATTGTGACGACAAACCCATTCAAAAATGTGGGGGAGATCCACAAAGAGTGGACTGCAGCTGGAGTCAGCGCTTCAAGAACCACCACGAGGAGACTCATGAAAGACATGGGATTCAGGTGTCGCATTCCGTGTGTCAAGCCACTCTTGAACAAGAAACAGCGCAAGAAGCGTCTCGCCTGGGCCAAGGACAAAAAGGACTGGACTGATGCTGAGTGGTCCAAAGTTATGTTTTCTGATGAAAGCAAGTTCTGCATTTCCTTTGGAAATCAAGGACCCAGAGTCTGGAGGAAGAGCGGAGAAGCACAGAATCCACGTTGCATGAGGTCCAGTGTAAAGTTTCCACCGTCAGTGATGGTGTGGGGTGCCATGTCATCTGCCGGTGTTGGCCCACTCTGTTTCCTGAGGTCCAGGGTCAATGCAGCCGTCTACCAGGAAGTTTTAGAGCACTTCATGCTTCCTGCTGCTGACCAACTTTATGGGGATGCAGACTTCACCTTTCAACAGGACTTGGCACCTGCACACAGTGCCAAAACCACCAGCACCTGGTTCAAGGACCATGGTATCCCTGTCCTTGATTGGCCAGCAAACTCGCCTGACCTTAACCCCATAGAAAATCTATGGGGTATTGTGAAGCGGAGGATGCAATACGCTAGACCCAACAATGCAGAGGAGCTGAAGACGACTATCAGAGCAACCTGGGCTCTCATAACACCTGAGCAGTGCCACAGACTGATCGAGTCCATGCCACGCCGCATTACTGCAGTTATTGAGGCAAAAGGAGCCCCGACTAAGTATTGAGTGCTATACATGCACATTCTTTTCATGTTCATTCTTTTCAGTTGGCCAACATTAGAGAAACAAACATTTTTTCATTGGCCTTTAGAATATTCTAATTTTCTGAGATACCAGATTTGATGTTTTCATTGGTTGTCACCTATAAATATCAAAATTAAACGTAATAAACATCGGAAATACATTGGTCTGTGTGCATTGCATGACTATAATGTACAAGTTTCACGTTTTGAATGGAATTACTGAAATATTTTCAACCTTTTGATGATATTCTAATTTACTGGCCAGCACCTGTAAACATCAAGGATTTTGTAGAAGAGCCGATGTCTCTGAAGGCACATCCTTTGGTCTTTACTCTAAACTCCTAAAGAGCAAGTCACCCCCTACCAGATCCTTACTCAACTCCCGCTTCCTGTTTGAAAAATGCAACAAATGCTGTTGCCTAGCAGACCGAGAGGGCGGAGCCGCTAACAAATACACGCACACAGGCTCTCAACGGCATTGTGACATCATATGGTACCAGCTAGCGTTCTAGGGTACCTCTTAGCCAATAGCGATGGCAGATTTAAAGAGCAAGTCGCCCCCTACAAGAAACGTACTTCACTCCCACTTCATGTTTGAAAAATGCAACAAATGCTGTTGCTTGGCAGACCGAGAGGGCGGAGCCGCTAACAAATACAAACACACACAGGCTCACAATGGAATTATGACATCATAATATACCAGATGACATCATAGCATACCTCTTAGCCAATAGCGGTGGCAGGTTTAAATTCAAATACAGTGCAGAATTTTTCCCTGACGACGGTGCAACACTGACAGTTTTAGGCAGAATATTTGAATTTTAACCAAGATGCACTGAAGTGCCAAATTATTGACTACACGTGTCTGTAGCATGATTAGACACTCCTTTATATAGTTTATCAGCAAAAAAAATGTGATTTGGGGGTGACTTGCTCTTTAAATTCAAATGCAGTGCAGAGTTTTTACCTGACAACGGCACAACACTGACAGTTTTAGGCACAAAATAAAAATGTTAGCTAAGATGCACTAAAGTGCAAAACTATTGACTGCACGTGTCTGCAGCACGATTAGACACGCATGTATATAGTTTATCAGAAAAAAAAGTTGATTTGGAGTAGGGTTGTCACGGTAACCGGTATAGCGGTAAACCCCGGTAAAAAAGTTGACAATAAAAATAACCGTCCAGTTTTTAAAAAACTAAATTATCTCGGTGGGTTTACCGTGGCTGCGGTTTAGGCGCGGTGACCCTTACCAGCCACCGTCGCTTCTGCTGAAGTTCCCGCGCACACGCACTTTTTAGTTTGCAACCAAACCTTTGAAGCTGAAATAATGGCCGAAGGAGGAGACGGCAGCGCCCAGGAAATCCATCAGCCCTCAAAGAAGACTAAATCGGAAGTATGGGCATATTTTGGATTTCTGAACAATGCTGAGGGACAGTTAATAGAAGACTGCTATCCCGTTTGCAGAACGTGCAGGAAACAAGTGTCTGCAAAAGGCAGCAACACTTCGAATCTGATGGCACATCTGCGTGACCATCACCCACGTCTCCACAGCCAGTGCAAGGTAAGTTAACATTAGCAATTTAGCTTAAATGCATGACGTGAGGACTTTTGGCTGAGGGAGAATGCAACGAGTCACTATATACTGCAGCCACAGCGTCCTCTGCCAGCATTTAAACCGTGTCACGGACACCTCCATATCAAAATGATGTTATGCATTATGGCTCCCATGGCGCAGATGAGTTGGTCGCCACTGCTCACCCTATTATTATGAATTTAATAATGGTTACTGCTTGATGACATTTTCCCTAATCTGCAATGATATATCATATTAACTTGAAGGACCCAAACCGAGGACGATAATATTTTCCTGATATAGTTTTTTTTTAGTTGTCTGAAACTGTAACACATTTCTGGCACTATAATTAGTACATTTAATACCCTCGAAGTGATCAACAACGCATAGTTATAATGAAATATTGGAACTGATGGGAAATATGCCTTGAACTTCCTTTAAAATGCCCTGTGAGATCATACATTTTTTGCCAATCCTTTTCTTTGGAGTTAGCAAAAAAAGGTATAGGCAAACACATTGTATGTACAGTGGGGCAAAAAAGTATTTAGTCAGCCACCGATTGTGCAAGTTCTCCCACTTAAAATGATGACAGAGGTCAGTAATTTTCATCATAGGTACACTTCAACTGTGAGAGACAGAATGTGAAATAAAAATCCATGAATTCACATGGCAGGATTTTTAAAGAATTTATTTGTAAATCAGGGTGGAAAATAAGTATTTGGTCAATAACAAAAATTCAACTCAATACTTTGTAACATAACCTTTGTTGGCAATAACAGAGGTCAAACGATTACTATAGGTCTTTACCAGGTTTGCACACACAGTAGCTGGTATTTTGGCCCATTCCTCCATGCAGATCTTCTCGAGAGCAGTGATGTTTTGGGGCTGTCGCCGAGCAACACGGACTTTCAACTCCCTTCACAGATTTTCTATGGGGTTGAGGTCTGGAGACTGGCTAGGCCACTCCAGGACTTTCAAATGCTTCTTACGGAGCCACTCCTTTGTTGCCCGGGCGGTGTGTTTGGGATCATTGTCGTGTTGGAAGACCCAGCCACGTTTCATCATCAAAGATCTCACTGATGGAAGGAGGTTTTGGCTCAGAATCTCACGATACATGGCCCCATTCATTCTGTCCTTATCACGGATCAGTCGTCCTGTCCCCTTAGCAGAAAAACAGCACCAAAGCATGATGTTCCCACCCCCATGCTTCACAGTAGGTATGATGTTCTTGGGAAGCAACTCAGTATTCTTCTTCCTCCAAACACGACGAGTTGAGTTTATACCAAACAGTTCTACTTTGGTTTCATCTGACCACATGACTTTCTCCCAATCCTCTGCTGTATCATCCATGTGCTCTCTGGCAAACTTCAGACGGGCCTGGACATGCACTGGCTTCAGCAGCGGAACACGTCTGGCACTGCAGGATTTGATTCCCTGCCGTTGTAGTGTGTTACTGATGGTGACCTTTGTTACTGTGGTCCCAGCTCTCTGCAGGTCATTCACCAGGCCCCCCGTGTGGTTCTGGGATTCTTGCTCACCGTTCTCATGATCATTTTGACCCCATGGGATGAGATCTTGCATGGAGCCCCAGATCGAGGGAGATTATCAGTGGTCTTGTATGTCTTCCATTTTCTGATACTTGCTCCCACAGTTGATTTTTTCACACCAAGCTGCTTGCCTATTGTAGATTCACTCTTCCCAGTCTGGTGTAGGTCTACAATTCTTTTCCTGGTGTCCTTCGAAAGCTCTTTGGTCTTGGCCATGGTGGAGTTTGGAGTCTGACTGTTTGAGGCTGTGGACAGGTGTCTTTTATACAGATAATGAGTTCAAGCAGGTGCCATTAATACAGGTAACGAGTGGAGGACAGAAAAGCTTCTTAAAGAAGACGTTACAGGTCTGTGAGAGCCAGAGA